GAGTCCGCCTCGACTGGTACCTTCACCCTGCCGACTAGCCGAACTACTTCCCCACTAAAGCCTACCAGGGGTACGTCGGTGGGCTGTAGATCCTTTTTTTTTAGTTGCATTCGTTCAAAGGCTTCTAGGAATATGATGTCGATCGAGCTGCCAGAGTCAACCAAAACTATTTTCACTTTGAAGTCATTGGTTAGTAACTTCACCACCAATGCGTTGTCGTGCGGATATTGTATTATGTGTGCGTCGTCTTTAGTGAAGTAGATCACTTCTTTTCATGGACGCTACGGGGGATTATCATCTTCATGTTCCGGTTCCCTAACTGAATTTTTCCCTGCCGAGGTGGTGCACCTAGCTACAGTTGACCCTCCAATTATCACATTTATGACTCCTCGGACAGGTCACTCCTGTTGCTGGTCTCTGGGAGCTACTTCTTGCTCCCTACTTGTTTGCAGTGCTTCTCTGTTATGTTCTTTTGGTCGACGTTCGTCCTAGACGAACTGCTCTAGGTAACCTCATCGGATGATGTCTTCGATTTCATTTTTTAGGTTCTAGCAATTTTCTATGTCATGGCCAACATCACGGTGGAAGTGGCGGTACTTATTGGGGTTCCTGGTGTTTGGGTCGCCCTTCATCCTAAGCGGACATAGTTATTTGATTTTATTTGCATTAAGATTTCTCCCCTTTTTGTATTCAGGGGGGTAAATGTCCTACTATACAAAGGTGGGGTGCTAGGTCGCTAGGTTGAACCCCGTTGAGGCGACTTGCTTTTCCTCCTAGGCGAGCTGCATCGTCTGCTCCTTGGTGATCTACTTCTCTTTGGAGACTTACTCATCTTCTTGGATTTGTTGTTGATTGCTTCCTCTTCAGCTCGCTTTCTCTTTCCGAACAACTCGGATGTTGACCCTAAGGCTTCTTCTACTTTGATGAACTTATTTTCCATGGCGAGGAACTTCTCCATGGTTGTCAGTGGGTTCAGCTCCATTTCCCAGCGTAGGTCAGAATGACGTACGCCATTTTTGGCCATTGTGAGTTGCATGACTAGGTCTAGGTCGGGAATTTGTAAACGTTACATGCAGAACCTTCTTATGTATTCTCGCAACGTTTCATTGGATCTCTGAACATTTTGGCCGTTGTAGATTTTGAATGCCTTTTACTTTTGGCGAATTGGTTGGTGAACATTTTGACGAATTGGTCCCAGTTTTTAATGGAGCCTAGAGCCAACCTTGAATACTAGAGCTAGGTCTTCTTTAAGGGTGGATGGGAAGGCGATACACATGCTTACATCATTACCCCCATGAAGTAACATTAGGGCTTGGAAACTATCAGCGTGCTCATTCGGATCAGTCATACCTTTGTAGACTGCAAACTTGGGCTAGAGCCGAGTTTTGCTGGTGATGCACGTGGTGTTGCTGTTGGGTTTTGCTGGTGATGCACGTGGTGTTGCTATTGCTGTTGTTGCGTAGTTGCCCCCCCCCCCCCGCCACGGAGGTGAACTTGCTTTCCCAGAACTTTAGTTGCTCAATCATTCCCTACACACACTATACCAGATCATAGAACTAGCATGCATCAACTGTTGCGGGAACTGCGGTGGGCTCAATCGCAGGAGGAGGCGTGTTCACATTTTCTAGTACAACTATTGGGTGTAGGGGGACGTCTATTTGTCCGATAGTCACAGTGGGGATTTGGCCGTTGTTGTTGTTATTCGTGGTCTAGTTGCTTGAAGAGGCCATTGCTTTCTTGGTTCTTGAAAAGAGGTAAAAAAGAGTACTTAGCTTTTAGTTACAGTTCCCACAGATGACACCAATTGATGTTGTGTGATCTGTAAGAGAGAGAATTAGAGTGCCCAGGTGTCTTTTACCCAGAGAGGGCACTCCGATGCTTAAGTCAGAAGATGTTTGTGAATTGTTTTGAGAGTTGAGAGAGCTAGAAAGTATGTAATCGCGCGTACCTTTTCAGGTAGAAGTGAGTGGCTTTTATAGGCACTAGTGGTTAGAGCCCTCTTGTAATGGGTTTGAGCTTAACCGTTTTCGCTTTGTTGGGCGCATTAATGCTTTGGTTGCAAGATCTGTGCAGGAGTTACGATCTACCCGAGTAATTTCGAGGTGTGCAATGCGGTAGGCCAGTCTAACGGTAGAGGTATCAACGCTCCATGGATCTCGGCTTAATGTATTGTTGGAATGGGTCAGTGGGCTCTTCCTCGCAGGTCGCCATGGATCTGACAGCTCGGCCAACTTCTAGGGCAGGTCACCGTAATCTTACAAGGTCTTCTAGTTCGGCCTTGTTGAGTTAGAGGTCGGCCTGGACGAGGTGCTCCAAGCTAACTTGCCGAGCTAGTTTGCTTACTCAGCACCAAGATGTCACTCAAAGGCCATGTGTCACAATATGATTGATCGGGCCAAATTACCCCTCATCAAGACCCAAAACGCAAAGGCTAACCACGTGAAAGACTTTACAAGACATCCCCAGAAAAAAGAAAGAAAAAAAACTGAGCCGGCCCTAACTCTCACAGTCTCACCACCCAAGCCCACAAGGCCACACGACTAAAGGCTCAGTTTGGAAGGAGTGTAAATGTGAATGTGTAGAGTGTGGAACTAATTTATATTTTGTATTATTTTGTTTGTATTTGTATTGTACATTATTTGCATTTGTACTCCTAAACTAAGTCAAAAGAGAAATAGAGAACAACCTTTAAAGGGTGACCTTTCTTTCCCTACCTTCCCTACCTCGGGCCCCAACTCTCACGTTCTCACCACCCAAGCCCACAAGGCCATACGACTAAAGGCTCAGTTTGGAAGGAGTATAAATGCAAATGTGTAGACTGCATAACCTAGCTAATTTATATTTTGTATTATTTTGTTTGTATTTGTATTGTTCATTATTTGCATTTGTACTCCTTCCAAACTAAACCAAAAGAGAAACGGAGAACAATCTTTAAAGGGTGACCCTTCTTCCCCTACCTTCCATGCCTCTCCTACGTGTGCTAGAAGCACCCTTACCACGTGGGTGCACCACCTCATCTTCATAAAACTCTGCTAACCACTTTAATTTCCTACTATCTGAAAGGCTATAGTGTCTGGTGATGCGCAATCTATTTGCTCCCTCGTGTCCTGTGATTGGGCTCGAATAAGGATTTGATCTGGCAGTGCCGAGCTGGTATTTGTACGTCCGAGTTGGAAAGAGCTGTAAAGAAAGAAGGATTAGAATGCCTAGGTAGGTTTTACCCAGGAGAATACTCCGATGCTTAAGTCAGTATGGGGATTTTTGTGAGAATGTGTGAGAGAGCTTAAGTGTTTCAGTGCGCATACCTTTTTTGAGTGGATTTGGGGCTCTTTTATAGTTATCTGAGGTTCAGGTGCCATTAGGCAATGTCTCTGAGTCTCCTACGGAGCTGTTTCCATAGTTTAAGGCATGATGGCGCGCCAGTTGCTAGATTCGCGCGACGGTTACAAGCCGCCCGGTTCGGCGAGCTGCTCCTATGGTCGCGGTAATGGTGCCTGTGGGGGCATGTTGCGCAGAACGGTTTAGATGAGCTTCTGTTGACAGCAGCCTGAGCTCGCCCCAACTTGGCTACTCATCTGATGTTGGGTGCCATGTGTTGATTTGTCGAGCTGTCCTACTAATTTGGATGCTGTGTTGTCAATAATGTCCATATGTCGATAGTTGTGCGGGGTGACCAAAACGCCCCTCATCAGTATACACGGATCAAACTTCACCTTTAAGAGTACCTCTGTTAGCAGTTGGGACTTCTCTTTCTTTAGGATCTCGTTCTCTTATAGTAGAATGATGTTTGTTTTTGTCAGCGGAGGTGGCCTTTGTCTTTGGTAGAGGCTAGGAGGAAAGCTAGGAAGACACTGACTCACACTTCTTTCTAATGATCTCTACAAGGGTTGCAGCGGCGTCTCCAATGGCGGTGAGATTCACGTTGTGTATCGACAACGGTGGTGAGACTCACGCTGTGTTGGTCAGGGTGAAGGAGCGGATAGAGAGGGAATGAGGGGCGGTGGGGAGGGAGGGGAAATTTTGATTAAAGTTTGGAGTCCAAACTCTCGTTAGGTCTGCACTCCTTCAGTTTCAAATTCTTTTAGGAGCGGGTGACGTGTTCGGTCCTTATTGGATTTGACAAACATTTTTTTGTCCGTAAGGCTGTGTTTGGTTGTAGTACAATTTTATTTGCTATAGTATAAATGCATGGGAGTGCAAGTGATAAAAATGTAAATTCATGTTTAACTTTGTTTTGGGTTTTAATTTATTCTGCTTCATGTCTTAATTTACTTCATTGTACTTGGAGGTGTAAAGTGGGCTGTGCCGGACTGGCATGGTATGGCCCGTAAGTAGTCCACGGGCCATCATGGGCCATATCACCCTCTCCGATGAAAATTTTGAGGGTCAACCCGACACAGTCCACAGCCCAGGCCGGTGCGGAATCACTTGCACTGCCATGTTTTGCATTGTTTGTATTGCAATCAAATACAGCCAAAAGGGTAGACGATGTGAAATCGGTACCCACGGCACATTACAGCTGCGCATTGAAAATATCTCATTTGTCATAGGGAGATGCTCCCAATACACGACATTGGTGCTTTGTGTATAGGGAAGTGATAACACTTTGTGGGTAGCAAAATCCAAAATGTAATAAATAAGCAAATTGGCTAATGGAAAAAGGGTTTTATGTTCTTGTAATAATAGCCATGGATACCCTAAATAAAAATAAAAATTCATTAAGCTTGACCTCTTTATCTGTTCTGTTCAGCTGAGATCCTTTTACTCCAAATCCCTTATTATATTCCCCATAATTTTTCATTAATTCTTTCTCCATTTCCCTAAACCTTAAATTACTTTCTCCTAATCAGTTCCCTTAACAGCTCACAAACATTGACTACTTTGAAACGTTGAATTCTCTCTCATCTCACTTCCCAACGGAAGTCTAACCTTCATTAAATATCTCTAGCTCTCTCTCTCTCTCTCTCTATCTATCTATCTATACACTGGCTTGCATCCATTATTGGTTTTTCTCCTTTCAGTAGCTCATACCAGACAAGTAGACCAATTAATCAAGCTGGCTAGCCGCGAAGGTTCATGCTTCTCTGCACCTAATAGCTATATAAGCATGAGTACCATCTCTCTGATCTTGCATTACTCTCAGACCATTACATACCCGGTCATTAATTGATATCCCCTTCACTCTGCGCCAACTTCTGCAACCCAAGCAATCCAGACATGAAAGACCTCACATACACCCAACTCTTCCAAGCTTCCATTGCAGTTCTCTTAACCTCAACCCTCCTCGTTCATACCCTCTTATCCGGCACCACACTCACCCACATCCTCGGTTTCCTCTCCCACAACCTCACAGTCTCGCTGTCCTGCGCCTGGTGCCTATTCATCTCCATTATCTACTACCTCTTTACCCGCCCACGTCCAGTCTTGATGCTAGACAACACCTGCTTTAAACCCAGCTTCGACCGTAGGCTGAGTCTCGAGGTCTGTGAGTATTTTGTGCGTCGGAGTAGACGCTTCAACAGCACAAGCGAAGAATTCATGCGAGGCATTTATCTCAAGTCTGGCCTGGGTGAGGAAACTTATGCACCTCCCTTCATCTTCCAGACAGACTACGAAGCCAAGCTGCAATCCGCCATTCAAGAATCCCAAGAAGGGATGTTCTCTACCGTTGATTCTCTCCTGGCTAAAACCCAGATCGACCCACAGCAGATTGACATCGTCGTCGTCACCTCTGGCTCCTTCGCGCCCTCTCCATCTCTGTCGGCACTTATAGTTAACCGTTATAAGCTGAGACCCGACGTTAAGACCTTCAACTTGAGCGGCATGGGTTGTAGTTCTGGAGTCATGTCCATTGACATGGCTGCTAAGCTCCTGAGCAGCAGTAGGCGTGTCAGGTATGCACTCGTCGTGGTCACCGAGAGCATCAGCTTGAATTGGTACTTCGGCGATGACCGCTCCATGCTCGTCACCAACTGTATCTTTCGTGTCGGTTGCGCTGCCGTCATGATGACCAATGACCCGAGTCGCCGGCAGGAAGCCAAGATGGAACTCGTTAGTTCGCTCAGGACTCACCATGGTGCAGACGACAGCTGCTACACAGCGGCGTTTCAGCAAGAAGATGAGATGGGTAACCTTGGGGTGACGCTCAAGAAGGATTTGATTCGGGTTGCAGGCCTTGGCCTGCGTGCTCACATCCAGTCGCTTGCACCCCGAGTTCTCCCTCTGAGTCAACTCGTCTCGTATGCGTACTCGGTTCTGATGTGTGCACTATCACGCGGCGACTCAAAGCCAATGGTGCCGGATTTCACGACGGCGTTCGATCACATCTGTATCCACACGGGTGGGAAGGCTGTGATTCAACAGGTGTCGCGAGTGCTTCGACTCAGCGGCGAGGTGACTGAGCCGGCTCGGATGTGCTTGCACCGATTCGGTAACACATCCAGTAGTCTGGTGTTTTACGAGTTGGCTTATTTTGAAGCCAAACAGAGGTTGAAGCGAGGTGACAAGATGTGGATGCTGGCGTTTGGGACGGGGTTCAAGGTGTGTAGCCTCGTCTGGAAATCACTGCGAGATTCGTATTTAGACTCTGAGAATCCATGGAACGATTGCATTCATCGATACCCATTAAAGAACTAGTAAGGTAAGGTAGGAAGAAGAGAGAACAGAAGAAGAAAGAAAAGAGAGAAGAAAAAAAAAAAGAGAATTTGTGAAATAATTATAATCCCAGAATAGAATAGCTCTATATTCTTATAAAAATAAAACCCAATATGACTGTATTAATTCTTGTGTTCATTGATTATGCATTTAAGGATTACCAACACAGATTGCAGAGGTGGGGACTCATGTTGGCTCTCAATAAGTATTTTTCAAGAGAAAAGATCGATGGAGGCTAGTTGCCTTAAATATGTGATCAATCTCATGAAGTTAACTACAGAGGTCAACAATATTGGGTGGGTAAGAATCCATTACCCAGAGAAGAATTCTCAGGGTCATCCATCACCTTGCTCAATGCTTTTGCTTCTTCATTGAATTGTAAACAGTGCTTGATTATTGAAAATCCCCTGGATTTGTTCCATATTTATCTGTTCATCTTTTAGTCTCTGAAATAAAACTGTTCATTTAGCAAAACAAAAATTTCAATTAATTTTAAATCAAAGAAGCATAACAAAAGAGATAAGCCCTTAAGCTTCAATTGTTCTTTTGATTTGTTGCTGTTGTGATAGGGCTGATAAACTGGGTTAAATAGGGTGGGGCAGATTTTATCCATCAAACTATAAACTGACTAGGAGGCAGCTTTAACCTTTCATGAACATAGGAAAGGTCTAACTATTTATTTAGAGTTTAACTTCAGTACATTCACTGTATTTTCCAATTTAGAGTTGGTTTACATTTTAAAAAATTTACTTTCACATTTAACAAGATATATTTATCATCACGTTCACGAAAAGGACCCTTAATATATAATTGGCTGGATTTATATAAAGTACAATCAAATTCTTATATCAAATTCAACCAAATTCAAATTGCAATCAGATATTGTGTACATTAATAATTTAAACTGAAAATGATCGAGATAACATTTATTATTAATAAAATGAAAAAGGACTGATATTATATATCATGAACAAAATATATTTAAAATGATGAGTTTTATGAAACTTAAATAAATCAATTTTTTGAATGAGATAGGGTTGGGTCCAATCCCTTTATTTACGGGTCGAATTCAGATAACATTTGCTGCAAACTATGCATTCATTTGCAGTGCACGATCCCTTGCTAACTTAAGACATTCAACTGCACTCAAACTTGTTGATTCCCTGCACCAAATGACATCTGCATTTGTTAGGGAGATTTCACACATTCTGCAAATTCAGGTTCTGAAAAACAGCCCCATCCCAATAGTGGTCTACAGCTCTACTCATTTATTGGGCCAATCAGAGAAACACGTCAGCTCTACAACATAAGACCCACCTGTGAGACCGAGGTGAATCAGATAAACCTTCGCCCAGACCCAAGAAATTAAATACACATCAATTATCTATGTAAATGGAATCTACTCGTGCGAGTAGATCAAAGTCGCACGTGAAAACAGTGCAATCGTATGTTCTTGCTTTCGAGTGACACGTGGTCTTCGAGATTTGTGGGGAGAGACTTCTCAAGGCTTCCTTCCTCCTCTTTTTATCGCCGAAATTTTTTGCAGCAAAGGTTCCTCCTCTCCTCGCCGGAAGAGCTTTCTTCAAGTTGCATTGAGGTAACTTCAACACAGAGCTGCAAATGGAAAGAATAATATATACCACAACCCCTCCAGAATTAACCGAGTAAGAAGGGAAGAGTTCTTAGCACAAGTATTCCGGCTATATTCATCCAAGAAAGGGCCCTTAGGTAACTGGTTGAATCGAAAGATTTATGGCTTTTATCTTTTAGTGGGTAGATTATTAAAAGAGGTAGCGATCTCTGTGATGGCTCAAGTTGAAGTTGAGTTGATTACTGCAACCACCTCAAATATTTTATAGTTTCAATCGTTTCATGCACTAAAGATAAAACAATGACATTTAATTAAGCCATTTATACTTCCTGCATGCGTCCATGGAATGGAGCATGGTTTTCAAAATCGGATCGGACAAAACTGGGAACTGGTTTTTTATTTCAAAACTGTTATTTTGTCAAAAATTATTGATTTGATCAGTAAACTGCTGATTCGGGTAGTCCAATCATTTAAACCGTTCGAACTGTTAAATAATTTTGACCCTTTTTTTAAAGTTTTTTATTAGAATGGGCCATCTATTAGTTCAAATAATCGAACCATTTGACTTAAGAACCGAATCCCTGATCCGTTCATTGTCCGTTGGATTTTAAAAACCTTGCCATGGAGAGATAATGTTGGAGTCCCCTTGGCTATGGATGCTCCAAGCTAGCATCTATTTACTTGATCAAACTAAGCGGTGTGTGATCAGTTAATTAGCAAATGTTCTAGACTAGCATTCTTATTATGGATATCACCATGCATTTGATAAAAAGAGAAAAAACTGTTGGTTTTTCATATATAGACTGAAAATTTGATCTATAATCCAACCCGAAAATAACTAGGATCATGAGATAGCTAGCCATCAAGGATCAAGTAATAAAGATGTTCCATAAATTGGATAATTTCTCTATTACAGGGGTGGTAGAGGTGGTCATGCCCCCCTCCCCCCAATGTCTTTCAAATCCTCAAAACTTCTACTTACATTAGCTCATCTATCATGCTTATAAATTTTGCCCTCTCAAATCAATGTTTATTAAGAAAAAAATACTGACTTCATTCCTGTCCCTATATGTTGAATTGGCATAACAACTTGACCACTTGCTTAAACGTGTACCACTGGTAACTATAGGTGGCAATGCAACGCAACTTGTTAATTCATAATGACCTTTCATAATTTCCTGAAAACATAAATCTTTGAACGATTTGTTAGCTCCACCCTGATCCTATAAAAATGCCTTAAATCTCAGAAATCTGAATTACAGCCCCCTCGTAGTCTATCAGTAATCTTCCTATAAACCGCATCCTGTCCGTAAATTTAGTATCAATCCACGGATAAAATTTAATCCATCCCTAAAAATCTTAACTCCACCCTAAAGGTGAACTGAACTATAAAAACCTTTAATTTTTTAATCTCTCTCTATTGAGAGGTATATGCTGGTTGGGTGATCATCCATCATCTATTGGATTAGCTGTGGTTAAAGAAAGGTGTTTGCACATGCATGGCCTTCACTTCAAACCGCGTGGTGTCTGTGCAATTCAGGTTAACATGACATGAGATATTAGGTTACCCTGGCCCCATTGAATTTATCCATTAAACAACAAGAGCAATAAAGGAGCTTTCAACCAAATAAATGGATCTTAGATTACACGTTATATCAAAATTTCAAGGCCGGTATCGTTACGCAAGGTCTATTTTCATGTCTCAAAAGATATATTTATCCTTAAAGACCAAAGGCGTCTAAGACCTAGCTATGACGCTTCCATGCAATGTATCATAGATTTTGTCCATACTTTATTTATAAAAATAAGGTATTGGATTGTAGCTTGAAGTAGTCCAAATTTTATTAAAAGAGAAATAGAAAGTTGAGAGGAAATTGTTTGGATAGCTACACTACTGGTTTTAGACATTAATTGGATGTATTTATTTATTTATTCAACCTTACCCCTCTAAGAAGGAATCCATATCCTTTGTTTGGCCTTGAACATATCTGAACCGATTCCTATTGTTTCTTCAACCACGCAGCACATTCTTCCTCGGATTTATGACCTTTCTTCATTCTTTTGTTTAATTGTTATAAAATCTTGGCCCACTAAATTGCCTTCAACATCAGAACCTTCTCCATTATGGGATTTTACTTCTACAAATAGAGCTTCTACTACTTTATTTTGATCCTAGAGAAATTTGCGGCCTTACATTACTGTTGTTTTTCAATAATACTCTGCTTAGGCTGTGTTTGGTTTTAATGTAATTTTATTTGTACTAGTACAAATGCATGGAAATACAGATGGAAAATATGCAAATTCTCATATAACTTTATTTTGCTTCATGTTTTACTTTACTCAATTTGTATTGCAATCAAACAAAACAAGCTAATATTTGAAACAAAAATAAGTAAGAATTTACACTCAAATCATTTGCACAGTCATAATTTTGCATTAGTACAAATTTATTTGAATTGCAACCAAACACATCATTAAGATCTAAGTGCCTTTGTATGGCATCACTAAATTTCTTCGATTCCATAACTTCCAATCTTACCTTCTACCTATGACAGCCATCTTCCAATTCATTTATACATCTATCTTAGACTTAATTATCAACCACCACATCTTCTGCAATTACTACATCACCCACCGGATTCTCTTCCACATCTATTTATTATTATTATTATTATTATTATTATTATTATTATTATTATTATTATTAAAGCAAATTCCGTGGGTATTAAACGGTTTAAATGGGGTAGAAGATACTCTTCATATAGCAAGAATACGTAGGTTGTTGTAAAAGCTTTCGTAGTTTATCCAATACCGGAAAACTATCCTCATCCAACATAACCTTAACTAATGACCCAATGATCGGATAGATGTTTGACAACATGGTTAGTTTTGTTTTATATTATTGAACACCCCATATATACATCTCAGTATGTATTGGGAGCAGCTCTCATACTTATTATTGAGATATTCTTAATACACAGTTGAAATGTGCTGTGGGGTGCATATGTGAATTCCACTAGGAGGATCACTCGGCATCCATCCTAATATGGAGGCATGGGATCAAAGTCAAACTCATGTAATTAATAGCTCACCCTAGTAAGGACAATGGATTTTATTCGCACCCTGCTCTGTTCCCACTTGTTTTTTAGGCAATAGGCTATATAACAGGGGTAACCCTCCCCCAACCCTTAAATCACCCCAAGGGGTAGGAATCTCCTACCAATAAAGTGCTCCCAACACTTTCCCAACATGCCATTGCAGCAGTATATTAGGAACATCTCCCTTGTCATTAGGGTTGTTCATGGGTCGGATTGGGTCGATTTATTGAGATTTTTCCAATCGATTCGACCTGGTTGGGTTACCTAAAATTGAAATCGAAACTGATCCTGTGTTAAGAAAAACCGACCTAGTCGGTTTGAGTCGGGTTGGGTCGGTTTAGGCTCTAAGTTCAACCATGCTTGAGAGTTAAATTGTATTAGAGATTGTGCTTGAGTTGAGGGGCTAAGGGGGAGGACCAAGTTAGAATAGAATTATCAAGAAAATAGAAAGTCAAACTGTATTAGAAAAAGTAGACTGAAATTTGTATATTTCAAGAAACCTTCTAATTTAAATAAAAAATGACACCCAATTATAATTGTATTTGGTTGCCTATTTAGTGTAAAAGACCATAGAAACTAGGATCCTTTGATTCTTTTCTTTAAACTTTTTCAAAAAAATTCCTTGTTTAAGTGTCTTACAATACTTGCCATTAATGTCATTCCTAACTAGAAGACTAGAAATTAAGTTAGGTTGTAACTAGGATAGAGACAATTTAGTTAAGTAGGAACTAAGTAGGTTGTAACTACTAACTACTAAGTCGGTTCGGTTCGGGTCGACTTCGGTT